AGTTGTCTACATGAGACAAAGTCTCACCTGAGATGCACAGACACAGAGACTGGGACTGGTCCCGGTCCCAGTTACACTCTACAGATCGCAGGCTCAGGCAGGTGTCAATGCTGCTGGTTTAGGCAGCTGCAGCACTAGGGGAAACTGACATACATAGAAAGAGGCAGCAGAAGACATCCAGGTTTGTTCTGTCTTCACATAACTAATAAACACCTTAGTGCACAATTGTACTGGATGCTTGCACCGTGTTGGCTTATGCATCATGGTGACCATGTGCATCTAGATACATGTGTAGCTATACATGGAATTAAGGCTACACATATGCAAGATGTAGTTTATATACAGTACATTTGGTATTAAAATAGCATCTGATGCTTTTAGAATGATATTCAAAACTGAATATTTTCAAAGTAAATAAAAATATGCAAAACACTATTGTGTGCCTCTGTTTACAGCATCTTCAAAATTTAATGGCAGTTTAAGTTTCGTCTGCTTCCCAATTCAATCTGAGCTAAGAAAGAAGTGTCACGTGTACAAAGTACAATGCCTTCTCCACAGACTACAGACAATTAACAAGTGCAACATTACAGTACAAAAATGCCTAGTAGGGCTGGGTGATGTACAATATTAAATATGCACAGGCAGTTCTCACATTGCAAGGACAGAGATATTCACCTGACTTTGATCAGGCTTCTGCATATCTTCATAATGTCCGGACATTAAGGCAGTATAAAGTGTTTTCATAAAACTTCATAAGTTATTTTTCAATACAATTTCAGTATTTTAAAAACTTGGCTGAGAACTAGGGGTTTTTCATTTCTCTAAAACATTTATATAGAAAAACAAAACATAGCAAGCTTTGCAATTTTAATGACTGATCCTTATCAAGATTATCTAGTATATGTTTAACAATCAGTTTCAGGTTTACTGCTGTTACTTTGGCATGAGCTCTGCATTTGCATCCTTACTGTTTAAATCACTCACAGGTGGGTTTGTGTCTGAACTCGTTTTTGCTTTATAAATATTGCAATATTTATCTAAAAAAATCACGACATTTGATTATTTTCCCAATATTGCGCAACTGTAATACTAAGTGGGTCATTCTGACAACTCAACTCACTCGACCATCTCAGAATTGACCCATTTTATGGCATTTTGTTTGCCCCAGGGCCAATATGAAAAACCCCAAATTTCTGTGGCCTAGCTCATACCGTTTAGGAGTTACCTTGGCTTGAAATTCCATGACATTTTTCCTTTGTTTGCAAAAATTCTTGCTTGGCCATTTCAGATGCCTGTGACTTTGCAACGGTAACACTGAGGAACCTGAAAGTTGTGGATATACTGTACAAGTCTTTGGCCTAATTCCAAATATGTATTTATTTAGCTTGTAGCATGTACCCAATTTAATTTTTCTAATCTGCCAAGAGGCCCAGCATCTCAAGGGGTAGTAAAAATATTGTCACTTTCATTGTGTCATTTGAAAGTTCTAGGTTCCCTTTACAACATATAAGAAACCATCCATCACTGTAACTGCTTAATCCCAACTGGGGTCACGGAACTAACCCAGGAATGACAGGCACAGGCAGGAACCAACCCTGGGCAGTCGCCAACACACCGTAGGGCACACACACAATTACTGGGCCAACTTTTTATCAACCAGTTGCCAATCAACCTACTGCACACATTCTTGGACTGGGGGAGGAACCCAGAGCCCCCAGTGGAAACCCACACGAACACAGGGAGAGCATGCAAACTCCACACAGAAAGGTCCTACGCCCGACCCAGGGACCGAACCCGGGACCGAACCCGGGACTTTTTTCTTGTGAGGCAGCAGCACTAACCACCATACCACCGTGCTGCCCCTATAAAAAACCAGAATGGTGTTTTTTTGTTGTAAGGGTTTTATTGACAATTTGAAGCTAATTGCAATCATGCAGGCATCTGAAAATGGCCAACCTACCATTTTTGCAAAGAAAAAATTCCATTGAATTTTTTAGCCAGTGTAACTTTGAAACTATATAAGCCAGGCCAGAGAAACTTTTTCATATTGGCCCAGGGGCAAACAAAATGGTTCAATTCGGACATGGTCAAGCATGGACCACTTGTTGAGTTGAGCCAGAATGAACAGAGTACAAAATGCTAACTACTATGAGAAATCCAACAACATAATACAACATTCAACATGAGGTGGTATGTGGTAAGTGGTATGTGGCAGAGCAAAGTAGCAATATAACGAGGCATAGTGGGTAGAATATAGAGAATGCTGCAGCAGTATTACAGAATTAGCAACTTGCTGTGGAGGCAGCGTGTGTAGAACACTTCATGCTACAACCTCATACAAATAAGACCAGAAACAATGGAGCTGATCAAGATGGTTTTCTCTCAGTGCCTCCTGGTGGACATAACAGATAAAGTACATGTGCAGGTATGAGCACTAACTGCTTGTGTAGCAATAGTGTGCCTAAGCATTTATGTTGCATGTGTCGAGTATAATCCAGCCCTAAAACCTTCAGGCCTCTCGATTTGTTGCACTTGTTGTTGTTGGCCAGTACCATCATTGACTAAACCCGAGAGTCGCACACAGACATCCACACAAAAAAACCAGTGACAATGGTGTTCTTCAAAAGCAAATATACCTGAGAGATCAAAGGTTTTACAATGGCATTTTATGGCATTATAAATAGCAGTAAAAACATTCTGCCCCTTGACATCTTCAATAAATCCGCCGGTTTATGTGTGCAGATGCTACATAAAGGTGACAGCCACTCACAACTGTAGCTGTTCGGACAGCACAGTGAAAAGTCAATAAATAAATGGCTTTTTATGACATAATGAGCAGGAGATCGAGCTGACATGTCAAAGGTCCATTGAGGGAAGGGAAGAGCGAGCTAACTGGCACCACTGGGAAAATCAGGATGACTCATAAGGGGACTATGGACATACACGCACACATACACACACACGCGCACACACATGCAGACGCAGACAACAAAACTGTACAGTCCCTTTATGAGCAATCCTACTTCTTAAAGAAATGCATAATGTAACAGCACTGTTTAATCTGCTTGCGTGACATCCAGCACATGCAAAACACTTGGTCACAGAGAGATGGTGAACAGGAAATGAGTGGAACTGCTTCATTAACCTATGGGAGTAAAGATAGGACTTGCTTTTCGTTACATATGACATTGAGTTTTCACAATATTAGTTGGACATTGATGCACAAAAAAACTTCAGAAACAGGGTAACAATTACAATTCCTCTATTTATATAATATCCCAAACATACAGTTGTGGGTAACAGATTTTAAACACTTTTGGAATTATCTGATTTCTCTATGACTCACACTGACTTCAGATCTGATTTGGCAATGAAAAAGTGTAACATTTGTTAAATGAGGTACTTATTTATTATTATGACTTAAGAGTTACATCAGATCACATTTTAGAAAACATTAATGCAAAAACAGATAACTCCAAAAAGTTCAAACTTTCTCAACTGTATGCAAAAGTATGCATTCTGAAAAAATAATTTAAAAATATATATGTATATATCCATTCGGGTAAAAACTTGCAAAACATTAAAACATTCAGGCAGTAAAAAGGGTTTGTGTTATGCATTTGATCTATAGGGAGCTGGCAGGAATTTCCCACTTGGAAAAGTCTTTTTACACGTCACCCTTTACACACACGGCCCTCGGCTCTTCAAACAGCCCTCCTCCTGCATGTACTGAGGGATTCTTATGAGGAATAATAACAATAAAGACCAAGATATATAGACCAATATGTACATTGGTCAAGGTAACAAACATTTTCAACCTCAGAATCAAGAATCAAGTGCAAGATAGAAACCTGTTCTGTACAGGAATACTACACTGTCCAGGTTCGATGAAACAGCAAGCACTGCCGGTTTTGGTAAGCAGCTTTTTTGTGTGGTGGCCTTTTGTCAAAAAGTGATTATAAAAACACTGATACAAACTGTATCACATAAAAAGACCGCCTTCCTGTTTTCTCTGCTGTACAACAAACACCATGACTGGCATTTTAGAAATCAAAAACGTGGGGGAAAAAAATATTAGGTCAAAGGTAGGTCATACATAAAAATATAATAAATTGTTAGAATTCAGTTTTTTTTCCTCCTGCTTTCAGTTTAAATGACAGCATTTCAATGTGTTCAATCAGCTAGTAGGACACAGTGTTTCATACAGTCAGCCTGAGGGTATCTATTGTACTAACAGTGCACAAGAAAGTTCACAGTCAGCCCTGACTGGGCTCAGCACAAGGTTCTGGCAGGCACATATCCAAAAAAAAAAAAAAAAACATACGAAGTCCATCCTGCTGCCATTTTATCCCTGATGGCGAGTTCAGATGAGTCTTAGAATTACCAGTTAACTTTGGTAACTGAAATCAGGGCCACATGGGACCTTTAGGTTATGAGGAACATCTCCTCACCCCTAAATGTCTGGATCCTTGAATGAGTTCCCTTCTCTTTACCGCCCCCTGTAGGGGGGGTGGAAATGCTCACGTGTGTGCTGCCACCCCAGCAGTGGAAGTATGCTTACAGCAATTAAGCTCCTCCCATGTTGTTCTTTGTACTGCAACTGTACAATCTTCAGCATGCATGCATGGAGGTAAGTCATCCCTGTGTGTGAGTGCTGGAGGATTCATGGGGTCTGAGTGTCCCCACACCCATTTGATGGGTGTGCGGACACCCATCAAATGTTACTCTTCCTCCACTCCCTACTGGCGCTCCTCCTCCTCAGCCTCCTCCTGGATGACCTGGATGTCGTCTGAGGCAGGGGCGGCGGACAAGATCTCGGCCTGTTGCAGTTCCTTGCTCTTCTCTTCTTCCTCGACAGCCTTCTTCCACACCTTGTGGTTCTCCGTCAGGTGATGCATGATGTCACAGAAGTGGCGTCCACCCTCTGTGCAGAGAGACAAGAGAGCACTTTAATCTGGCTAAACATAAAATAGCTAATGCTTTTATTTACAGATGAAGATTTTCATTTTTGACTGGCTAGAATTTAGAGAAATACTACAACAAAGCCCCTCCGTGGACAGACGGTAAGATATGAGTCATCTGCTGCAGACTAAAAATGAATGATCTGAAAACTTGTGTCTCAAACAGCCCCTGGTCCGATGATATTTGAGCAGTGCAAAACAAAAAAAAAAAACCCAGAAAACTAGAAAATGGAAAGATGGGAAAGCCGCCAAAAACCCAATATTAAGACTGATCCATCCATCCATCTATTCCATCTACATGCTCATTTATCCAGTATAGGCACCCTGGAGCCTCTCCCACAAAACACAGGTCACAAGAAAAAGGAGGCCCCTGGATGGAATGCCGTTTTTTGAAAGATACACACAAAGAAACACAATCACACACTCTGGGAAATTCTCCCAGAGAACCTGGAAGAAGCCTGTGGGAATCTGGGTGAGCATGCAGACTCTGCGATTCAAACCCCCAGACAGGGTTTTGTGCTGAGCCTCCGTGCCACTCAATATGAAGAATCAAGCAGATGCCGATCTTTACTTGTTGCAAGCTCCTCATCCAGCTCGTCTTCCTCCAATTCAGTGTCCTCTGGCTCCTGATCCTCCCTTCCCTCTTCTTCATCGAGACACTCGTCATCAATCCAGTACCCGGGCAGGAGGCCAGCGGCATCGTATGAGTTGCAGAGCGGCCCCACAATGTGGGTGATGAAGGACTCCTGCAGCTTGGCTAACTGGGGTGCCGACCGGTCCATGAAAGGGCTTATGGGAAGGCCCAGGCTAGCTTCCTCGTCTCCCTGAAAAACACAGGGAGCAATCAGTTCATCCCAGCCCATGCAGAACATACAAGTTCCATGGGAAACACTGAAGCTGTGGCCTGACCAGAGTTTTACCAGACAGTGTAATCTATCATGGCAGAAACACAAACATTTATTAAGCAACTCATGGCAAGAGGAAATAAAGCTAGGAAAGCAATACGCTGAAATAAGGCTAGAGAAGAGGTAAAACTACTGTAAAGCTATGGTAAGCTGAGCCAAGGCTAGTACTGAAGTAAGCTATGGTAAGCTGAGCCAAGGCTAGTACTGAAGTAAGCTATGGTAAGCTGAGCTAAGGCTAGTACTGCGGTAAACTATGGTAAGCTGAGCTAAGGCTAGTACTGAAGTAAGCTATGGTAAGCTGAGCTAAGGCTAGTACTGCAGTAAACTATGGTAAGCTGAGCTCAGGCTAGTACAGAGGTAAGCTATGGAAAGCTGAAATAAGGCTTTTTCAAAACAAAAGCTTGAAGTTGGAATAAAGCTGAAATAAAGCTAGTTAAGACTCGTACCTGCTCGTAAAACTCATTGACGATTCCTTCAGTCCATTTCAAATGCAGCTGGTGACTCTTGGCTGGCCCATTGATGTCGGCCAGCTTAATGCATACTTGGCAGACCAAGAGCCTGTCGTTTTCATTAGTCCAGTCGATACCTGGGCTATTTACATCATTAACCTATTTTAAGCAACAGAAGGGCAGTTCTCTTTTTTAGTGAATGAGGCAGAACCGCATATTCAGGTCAAGCCAATTGCCAAAATAAAAGGCTGAAAGGCAAAGGAAGACACTGCTAACCTTCGAATTGAACTCGGCCAGGAAGTCAAAGTGCTTCTTCAGGTCGGTGGCCAGGATGGCCTCGATGACCAGGAAGCGGAAGCGCTTGAACTCCACATGGTCGAGGTTGACTAGGAAGTTGAACTCAGGTTGGGACAGGTAGAGGCTCCAGGCTGCAGCTGCGTGGTGATTTTCCAGGACAGAGCGGTCATTGTATAACACTGCCTATGGTCGGCAGGAGGTGACAGCGTAGAGGGGGAAAAAAAAATCAATCTTATTTCCCAGGACCTCAGAAATACTGGCATCAGCTCCTGCACCACATATATCAATTCCTCAAATAAAAGAGATTGCTTAAAGGCTAAAGCTCATACGTCAAGCTATAATCACTACATGGCTTATGAAGGAATATTGCAAGGTTTTGTTTTCTTGAAAGACTTTTCAGGGTCTAAGACAGGGGTGTCAACAAACTCCAGTCCTGGGGGGCTGGAGCCCTGTGTAACTTAGCTCGTTCCCTGTTCCACCACATATGATTCAGCTCCAGAGCTGTGTGGTAATTAGCACAAGGAGTTGAATCAGGTGTGTTAATTGTGGGGAAACCCAAAAATGTGTAGGGCTCCAGCCCTCCAGGACTGGAGTTTGACACCCCTGGTCTAAGATGATTTTGCCTGAGGGAGTTTCTGAAGGAATTCAAGTCCTTTTAAATTAAATCTGCAAAGGATTTTATCTAAAGTTACACAACTCACAGCAGTAAACTTTACCAATTGCAAAACTATGCATGACTATTCAAATTTAACAACCTTGTTCACAGGTACTGCAGAAGAGGCCCAACTAGGACTGAAACTAACAAACAGCCATCCCAAATCTCAAGGTTCTCAAGGCTATAACATGCTGTCAAGTCAGGGTGAAGCATGCGATGAGGTAAACCACAGACCTACCTGAGGTGCATTGGTGGCTACGAGAAAGGCGTTGGTGCGCCCGGGGTGATCATAGTCATGCATGGCAGCCGCAACATACAGTGCCATGAGCTCTAGAGCTGGAATGTTCCACGACAAACAGCCATAGCTTTCATCTGAGACTGAGGAGGTCCTCGAGGAGGTGTAGGCCACTCTGCTGGTAGAGATGCCACTGTCCGAATCTGAGGAGACAAGCCCGTTAACAGGAAGCACTCATGTGGGCTGGATCAGCGTTCACAGGCCCCAGCAGATATGGGCCTTCTGCACCAATTCGCACAGGGGGTTACCCAGTGGATAGCACTGTGATGCTGGGGGGGGGGGGGGGTCACTTCCTAGATCCAGCTGTGTACACGTGTGGAGTCTACATGTCCTCCAAGTATTTGTGAGTGTTTCCTTTGGATACTGCAGTATATGGAATAAAGGGATTCAGACCCCCAGATGGGGTTTTGCACTGAGCCTCTGTACCGCTCAATATAAACTAGAATAGGTGTATGTCCTGGGATGGACAGACAGGAGTCAACCACCTTCTGCCCTGTACCTCCTGGGACAAGATACAGGCTCACCAAGGCCTGCCACTCGCCAAGGCCTGCCACTCGCCAAGGCCTGCCACTCCAGAACAGTCATGGAAGGATTAAAAATAAAAAATAAAAAAACTAACTACTTACCATATTCTATAAAATACATGTTCCAGTCTGATTTCTTTCTTAAAATCTCCATGTGCCTGTATTATAAACTCCTTTCTCTCTCGCCTAAGCATTACGCATCACTACAGCAGTGGCATGAATAAATAGCAGGTATCACACACAGATGGCAGGCTGTCACAGGGACAGTGAGCTCAGGCATGGTCTGCAGGTGCACAGGTTTCCACCATAACTTCCCTTGTACCTGGTACTTTGTTTGCCTGCAATGTACTGTCTCTTTAAAAGGTGCCCATCCCCCATGCAAGCCCCACGGGCGGGCTCAGTGAGTGACTCAGTGCGTCAGGCCGCACTCCATTTGAAAAATTAAAAGGTTCGTCCACAGAGTTAAATTAAGCCCCGAACATGCTGAGCTCAGCAGCAGGCCCACATCTCAATCACAATGGAGGGGGTTTTTTTTTATCTACTGGCACCTAGTGTGAGGGAGGGGGGGTACGACAGGCCCTCGTCAGCACTGAGCTCCAATTTCCAACGGATCTGGGCTACATCAAATATCATTAATGGAGAAAATGCTCTGAATCGTGGTTTTGTGACCCAAAACCAGTGAGTGAGACCATTAAGGAAAAGGGCTGTTTATAATGGGTTTTCTGTGTGTTACAAGCAGGCCATGAGTGGGGTCTCTATTCTGTAACACATACCGCAGGCACCGATTTACACAGAGGGATACCAAGGGTGCGCGTCTCACAAACGGCAGTCGATGCGTCCAAGAACATGGAAGAGCCCTATCTGTGCTGACAATGAAGTAACCACCAACACTGGCATCTTGCACTGAACTTCATTTGAAGTTACTCTTATACCGCAGTGTAATACAGAATGGATGGGGGGGGAGAGGAAACAACCCATAGACATTTAGACAGTGAAGTAATAAACACATCTGATATCATAAATGGTTGTCATGTTTTCAGGTTCCTTTACTAAGAAACTAATGAGGATGGGTAACTTGATTGCATGACTTAGGCTTACTAATTCTATGTTGGGTAAACCAGTTACAATTCATGAATGGCTTAGTGGGTTGCAGTGTATGGTATAACTGGAGGTACCTGTGTCACTTCCCGTCACATGTTCATTGCCAATCTGCTGGAAGCCAGGGATTGGGCGTGTGGTGAGGTACCAAACCGCATGCAGGACGTCGGTGGCGTGGATCCGGTTGTGATCTGAGAAGGGAGTGCAGTGGTCACCAATACTTCAATCAAGGTTTGGTCTCATCTACACAATGAGATACAAATTAAAGAAAGCAACTCCAGTGTGGATCACTAAACGAAATTATCAACAATTAAATAAAAATGTTGAAATTTTAATTTGTTTTGAATTACCTACATGAAGCTTATCTGGCAAGTTCTTAACAGTTAAACCTTGGGAAATAATTGGATTGACACATAAAACTTGGAAAAATATGAGATGAGTAAGTGGGAAAATAGAAATTTGATGTTTAGTTGCCAAACTCTTTCCAGCAAGGGACGCTTTTAATAACAAGTCTACACAATAACGATCATTTTATAAGCGCCTGTTGGCACAACAATTCCGAGTTCTGTTTTATAGGAGACATCAATTATTTCTATTTCTCAACCCATTTTTGCTGTGACTTTATGAAAAGGAGAAAACGTGATATTAGTCTTACAAGGGATATCCCGATAACCGCTCTCTAGCGCTGAGAAGTACGCCATGAACTCCCGCACTGGTATCTTAAAGATTTCAAACAGGCTCGTGTCTTGAAACAAGGTGTATGTCACCTGTGAATGGAAACAAAAAGAAACAGACCTACAGACCTCAGAGATGCAGAATTCAACACAAGCGACTGAGAAGCATCTGTACGCGCAAGGATGTGGGTAAACAGTGTCAGCTATTCAAAGACCAAAAGTATGAGTTTTGAATAACTATCATGAGTCATATTGTCATGCAGAGTAAAAAAAAATTTGCTACCCAAAATACAGAGCAAAATTGGGTGTACAGATACACATTATAACAATGGAAGAATCAGAATTCCATTTTAGCATAAGCGTTCATATAGAGATTTCAGGTTCAAACCAGACATGCACTGATCATTGTTCACACTAAATGAAATGTTTATTTTGTTTAATGTGATGGTGTTTAAGGGGCTAAATGCTTCTAGGGTCCTGAAGCCCCTTTGATGGATGGGAACACTGGTGCAGAGGCTGCCATGTAGGGGCCATTGCAGCAGCATTACAGGGGTAAACAGCTCACTCACACAGCTCAGTACCCTCCCATTCTTCCCCCCAGTCTTCTCTACTAGGTCAAAGATCTGGAAGTTCCAAGTGTCCATCTTCTCCATGAGAGCTTCATGTTCCTCCAGTATGGGGTCCAGGACGGACTCTTGCTCCGTCTGAGAGGAGGGAGAATGAGGTCATGCAGGTATCCTGCATACCAGGGCCGCTGAGGACACCCTCACAAGAGCTGGCATGGGCATGCAGATCTGCCTTTACGCTTTATGTGACGGCCTGATGCTTACCAAAGCAGGATGCTGCTCGAGCATGGAGGAGCCACGCCCCCCCCCCCCCTGGAAGCTCTACTTTACCTGCGCCTCCAGATCCTGCTGCTGCACATCCGCCGGCCCAGCGCTGCCCAGGCCGGGCTCCGTCCCGCCCTCTGGGTGGGACCCAGGCTCCGCATCACTAGGAAGAATGCAGCTGTTTGCCTTGGTTCCCTCGCCTGCATGGTATGTGAGAGGGAAAAAAAAGCAAACAAGAAAAAAAAGCCACTGTGTAATCTCAATGGTATTTTTTAATGTGGTCTGACCCTTTTAACTGGATGACCATTACATATATCGCCGTGAGTGTTTCACAATGAGAAGCAGCACTTTAGATTTATAGGCAATTAGCACGTGAAAGCCGAGGCGTGGAGTAAATAAAACTATATGAGACAAGGCCTTGAGACGAGGAGGAGCGAGTGAAAAAAGGAGGAAGGAAGGGGGGATGAGAGAGAGAGAGAGAAAAATCCGCTCAGCAGTTACTCATGCAGACAGAGGCTCACCTAAGCATGGACGCTGCAGCTGGAAGGCTGCTGGCCCGCGACCTTCGACCCCATCGGCACTGGGTGGGCCCTTTGACACTTGCCGTCCGCAGCTGGGCGGGGGGGCAGCGGGGCATCAAGTGAAATGGAGGTTATACCATCACATGTGTTACGCTCTCATGCTAATGCCATCTGATGTGAAGGTGCATTATAAAAACAGGAAGACAGGGGGCAGCACAGAGCCCACCTGACTGGTGCTGGTACCTAGTGCAGAAGGGAAGGCTGAGTCTTCGGGGCAGCTGCTGCTCGCCGGGGCCGTGGCCGGAGCCCAGGAGCTTATGCAGGCTGATGCTGGGCTTGGTGAGGAAGTCAGCTGTATCGGGAAACTCGACAGGGGAACGTGGGAATGGTGGAGGGCTGTGGCAAGGCGAACTGACTGGGCTCAGGCTTGGGGAGGGACCTTGGGGGGTGGCAACATAGACATGCTAATAGCTTCAGCTTCCCTGTACACCTTCTATACAGATTCATCCAGGACACTGATAACACACATTAACATCCTAACAAACAGTTATTGTTCCCATTCATTCAGAAGCGAGTCTATTGTGTCTTTTTCTTCAGTTAAAATGCTGCATCTTCCTATGTTTCTGCGTAGCAGCGGCCAATCAGAGCCAAATGTGTCGGGCTTCCGGGTACCATTCCGCACATTTACCCGCCCTCCTGGAGGCCTGGTGGCAGGTCAGTGTGATGGAGGAGGACCTCGGCTTGGGGATGGTCAGCAGGCTGGCACCGGCCGAACTGAGCAGAGACCCCTGGCTTCAAAACACAGAGGGATCCAATGAGAGGACTGCTGGGCAGAGACCACTGACTTCAAAGCACAGAAGGATCCAATGAGAGGACTGCTGGGCAGAGACCGCTGACTTCAAAGCACAGAAGGATCCAATGAGAGGACTGTTGGGCAGAGACCGCTGACTTCACAAGAAAAAAAGATCCAATGAGAAGCCTACTGGGTGGAGACCCCTTCAGGCTCTACAGGACATACAATTCCAGTAAACAAAATTAGACTGAGACCTGGGATTACAGAGCTGAGGATACCTGGGGGACAGCGGTCCAAGATGACAGACCTATTCTCCAAAAAGTAAGTTAATTCATTACACAGGTCGTGTTAGCAATACATGACTTGGAGTTGGACCTTTTAAGTTACCGAGTACCAAACTTTATTTAGAGACAGTCAGTTTCTGACCAAACAAGTCAAAATGTAAACAAGAACCACACATCCATATAAAACCTACCGACAAGGGAATCCAACAGTGCTCATCTCACACTTCTGCGATTAAGAAGGGGCATAAAGAGGATCCCTCCTTAAAGTCCCACAGGTCTCTGTTTGCAGGAACATCTACCTCTAATGCTGCCCTATCGGCTGTTTACCCTCAAGGGCACTGCTGTGACTCTGCTTCCATGCATGCGGTGACGTCACACTACACAGAAACGACATCCTTGGGCATTTCCACTCTCACACCGATAGCAATGATAGCATTTATGTTGTTAAACAAAATACATTCTCAGTACTTCAGCTATGCAGTTATATATAAAATGTGTAAAGTATGGACATAAAAGAAATAGTGACTCAAATTCCAAGTGACGTACACAGATTTTTTTCTTCATGAATGAGCAATAACTGCTGGGAAAGTCATTATCATGAGGCAAAAAACCAGAATCACTGAAGAGTAATATCTCAAAAATACCAAGTGAGTCATCAAAGCAGGCAGAGGGGTATCATCATCGTCAAGCCACAGGATGGGCAGCAGGACTGGGCTGTACTAGTAACTGCTGCCACCTAGTGGCTACATGTATACCTCATCTGAAGGAGGCTCTCCCAGACCTTCTAAGTCTGCACTTCATTCCTTCCTTATACTGTCATACATGCCAGAGTACATGGCTGATGTTAGTAGAAAACAAAACTCATAGCTTTCCTCATTAAATCCACCAGTGGAACCAAAATCCTCTTTTTAAAAAACTTGATTCTCTGAGGATTTGCTAGTACATTCAGCAAAATCGTTCCCGATCCTTATCCACCTACAGATATAGTTCTCAGATAATAAGAGACAAGATCAGATACAAAGTTCACAATGAACAACAGAACCTAAATGCTGGAGGGGAGCATGGCTGAGATGGGCAGGCTACAGCAACAATAGATCCAAATGCTTCCATTGACTAGAACAGGGGTGGCGAACCTGTTTGCCATAATGAGCCAAAAAAAAATCTTTATCGCTGCAAAGAGCCACACAACAGATGTGCAAACAACAGTATCACAAATTATACACTTAATTACATAACAGAATTGTTTTCATGGATTTTATTCAGCCTACCTCCTTTTATTTGACTCAGTGGGACACCTGACAGTCCTTGGTTTCCACAATCTTTTTTAGGTCTGGCTTGTATTCAGTTGTTGCTACTCGTAGTAACTCTTTTACATGTGTGTCAGTAAGAACAGAGCGATGCTTTGATTTCACTTGTTTCAGTGTCGAAAAAAGTAGAATGCTACGGTAGAATGGAGTGAAGTGAAATGGCGCTCAAGATTTGAAGCCTTAAAATGCGACAACGAAGTCTGGCATATCAAGCAGAATGGCTTTCCGTTTCTTTCAAAAAAAAAATATATAAATCCTCCCATTCAGATAAAAATGTTCTGTGCTCATCTTCGTATTTGCGCTTAGCTGTACGCTTCCCTGACTCTGCCATGATGATTGACAGGCTACTAACGAACTTAGTCTATGTTAAATCGCGCGAGAGGTTGTGTAAAAAAAAAAAAAAAAACTCATTTAAATACATACCCCTTTATTGAAAATTTATGTTTTGACATTTTAAAAATAATTTGCAAGTGTAAACTGTCACGCCCGGCTCCGTTCGATCCTCGAGTGTGCCACGCCCCCTCATTATCACGTGTGCTTCCCCGATTGTGCCCAGCTGTTCCCTGTTATTTCGGCTTGTTTCGTGTATATTAGTCCGCGTCTCCCCCTGTTTGCCAGATCCGGCATTGTATTGTGACGTATTGTGTTCATGGATGTCTGCCTCTTCCCTATTAAAAACCCCGTTTGCCTGTCAGTCCGGCTCCACTCGCCTGCTTACCCGCTCGCTCACCCGCCGAACGTGACATAAACACAGAACATGTGGATAGATTGAAGAGCCGCAGGCGAGCAGTGAAAGAGCCGCAAGCGGCTCGCGAGCCGCGGGTTCGCCACCCCTGGACTAGAAGGTCGTTACTGCATTAGTCCTGCCAGCTACAGGCTGCAGAATGAGGCATGGAGCAGCATCTCACCTGGTGGCAGTTAGCTCGGCGTGGACCCTCTTAGCACTGCGGTCCCAGCGGGAGGACGACAAATCCATGGAGGGCAGAGGTGTCGAGCTGGAACCACGGCGAGGCAGCTGAGGGGTGGGCAGGCTGCACCGGCTGCTTAGGCCCTGGGGGTGGGCAGAAAACCCAGGATTGGGGCAATCTCATTGGACACATTGTGACATGTGACATTCGGTCCTTAAGTCTAAGAAAAGTGAGCCTGAACAAGAGGAAACATCAAGTAAATAGCAGCAGCATTAAACAGACATTATTCCACTGGCTACATTAACATATTTAAGATAGAAGCCTGTTTGGCCTGAGCTTTTATGGTCACTGCAGAATCTAAACGCAAGAACACAATTGTCGTTATGATATGACATACCTGCTCCTCACCAAAAACGGCATGGGATATTTTCCATTATGCCAGATTAGTACTTTCTGCTGAACAAAACAACAAACTCCAGGAAAGTCAATACTCTGACTTTCTGTATATATGCTTCTATACTGCCATGTGCGCACCAGGGCTGTCACTTCTTCAAAAATCAAGATCAATATATTTCAATACCTGTGACCTCCCCCCCATCCCCCCCCCAAAAAAATAAAAAATAAAAAATGACACATCATCATATTTGTACAGAGCTCCTAAGATGTCAGGGTGGGAAAATATATTTGAATATGGACTAATAGGTCAGGTTCAGGTTGAGGAACATGTACTGATGCAGCGTGTGGCCATAGCGACCACATTACGAATCCCGGCTGGCGACGCCCCAAGCAGACACGTGGTCCAGTCCCCCCCTCCAGAAATGGCCATTCCATTTGCCACAGCCAGGTTTTACGTAGGCGCCCCTTTGGCCTGGTCCAGCCACTCAACAGTGAGGATCCTGTGATCATAGGCTGCAAAAATCCTCTGCTGATATGCGTGCTTGTGCTCGATGAGGACCCTCAGTGCCAGGATGTGGTCGATGGTAGACTTCTTAGGCGTAAAACAAACCGGACTGCTCTGGTTGCATGTAGGCGAGTAAGTGATCACGGATCCTGTTAAGGATGACCCTAGCTAGGACCTCACCCGGCACTGAAAGCAGTGTTTTCCCCATGTAGCTGCCGCTATCCAGGCGATCACTCTTCCCTTTCCAGATAGAGACTATAAGTCCCGTTTTTCTGTCGGTTGGGATGATGCCTGATTCCCAAATGGAAGCAAAGATTACCTGCAATGCCAGGAGGACAGCCTTACCACCAGCCTGGAGAAGTTCACCCCGGATACCACAGATCCCTGCGGCCTTCCCTGCCCCCAGCTGATTCACCATCCATGCAATGTCAGAGAGACTGGGTGGTTCACAGCTGACTGGAGGATCAGTCTCGAGAACCGTGGACCCAGAGATGTCCAATGTCACAACCAGGGAATCAGCTTTAACCCCCTGGGGCCTGAGGCCTTTTTTCCACTTTCGAGGTAGTCTGACATGCCTTGACATTTTAAAATATTTCACCTATCTAAAAAACATTTATCGCAAAGTGATACATTTGCTTTTATTCAGCACAAACTCAGCACCAATAATCTGCGAACTACATTGATCACATTCTCATGGGCAGACACTGCAGGCTTCTGCAGAATTGCAGCGTCTACAGAAGTGCCCAGTTAGTGAATTCTGACCACAGACCTGTTTTTACTACTCTGAAGATTCAGCTTAGATTCAGTAGGCTACCACCTACTAGGAGAACTGCTCAAAGTAGCCGGCCCAGCGGGTCACAACCGCAGTGTCATCCATAAGGACCGATCCAATCCCCCCCGACTGCAAGTCTCCAAGGAGCAGATTCAGATGTGGTTAATGCTTTGATTCCTCTGTAAACAGGACGTGGGTCACTAGACCACAGATGGTGTGTCACCTGCTCAGAGGTTCGTCTAACAGTCGTCTCCTTATCTGCCCTCAGAGCCGTCCTCCTCAGTTTGCAATACAGACTTGAGTTGCCACCAAGTCTTATCACGGAAGCCCTCCCACACCACATTTGCGTCGGCAGTCGCACCTAAGTCTGCAAGTTCCTCACATGAAGTGCATGCAGACTCATCAGAAACAGCTTGATCTTGGAGTCTGGCCAAGTCCAGCCTCATTCTCCTAGTAGGTGGTAGCCTACTGAATCTAAGTTGAATCTTCAGAGTAGTAAAAACAGGTCTGTGGTCAGAATTCACTAACTGGGCACTTCTGTAGACGCTGCAATTCTGCAGAAGCCTCCAGTGTCTGCCCATGAGAATATGATCAATGTAGTTCGCTGGACCACCAGCATTGGGGTATAAAGTTCAAAGATGTGGCTCAGGACGTTGGAACCAAGATCCAGCGACATGCAGCCTCTGACCTTTCACAAAGTCAAGGAACATGGAGCCACTCTCACCCCGGTCACCAGACCCATGGGGACTGACACAATCCTCATAGCCAGCCCTGCGAGTGCCAGCGGACACATTGAAGTCACCCATTACCAGAGAAGTGTCACCTCGTGGGCACCCACCAACCACCAAGCCGCGAATAAAATGTCTCCCTCAACGAGTCACCACTCACTGCGTTCGGAGCTTACACTGAGACAAAAGACAGGGCACCCAGTGAGTGTGCCTTGCCTGAGTCTCATAATACACTCCTTGAAAGGAGTGACATCAAACAGCATCGGGAGAAGCCAATCCGCCACAACAGCAGCTACTCCCTAAGTATGGCAGCCATCAGACCGACCAAAAGTAGGTATTACCAGCCTACAGAGATCTGGCCACTCCCTGGTCTGCGTACCTCAGAGAGCGCTGCCACTGAAACGCAAAATCTGCCAAGCTCCCCCGACAGCAGCGAAAGACGGTCATCTTGCCGGAGAGACAAGAAGTTCCACATGCCTACCCAGATGGGCCGGCATGCAGCGGGCAAAGCCTCAGCCCACACCAGCTCCCATCACCAACAGGCCTGACCCTATTAGCTCTCCAACGGATCTGATTCTTCTGGGGATGAGGCCCCCAAAGGCTTCCCCATCCTCTTCATATGCCTGTTTTTATACGAGTTTATTAATAATTACACTGCATCCATTCACTGCCAGTGACTGAAAACAAGACAGCTGGGCTACTGAATGTGAAGTGCACTTACAAACACTGAAATTTTAATTAATATTCGCCCATAAAGAAATCTGGAAAACCAAGGGGTGTTGCTTGCGTTTGTCAAAGGATATTACAACCAGAAAACTGAATGCAAAGTTAAATTTACCACAGTGTCATAGTTAAGGTTTACACCCTAACCCACTTTCGGGTAAACTTCCTTGTATTCTTGTTTGATGATGTATGTGCAGATAAGAGGATCCACTGTATACTGAAATATTCCAGAAAGCAGGTTCCAGTTTAAACCTTAACTCCAAAACTGGGGTAAAGTTAGCTTTATATGCAGTTTTCTGGCTGTAATATCCTTCAGTGCTTGTAATATATTTCAGTGTTTGTGTGTAAGCCTCACGTTCAATAGCCCAGCAGTTTTGCTAAAAGTCACTGGCAGTGAATGGACATGGTGCAATTATTAATAAATACAGATAACAACACATAATATTAAAGTTACATGGTGTACATCGTCCCCCCTAGTTTAATACTTACTGTAAAGCCAACTTAACTGGACGTGTTTGTATTATTTAGGTTTACCCTTGCATAAGGGCAACTGTAGTGGGATCACATGAGTATTGCGAGGGAATGCAAAACTATTTATTTATATTTTCCCACCCTGACCTTTTAGGGGCTCCATAGACAGCAGAGAACAAAATGACAACAAACTGTCTAATGTGCTTACAGGCGATATGACACTATAAAATCTGAGTGGGTTAATTATAGTTCGAATAAGATTTTTTCCATATCGTGAGCAAACAAATGTTTGAATATCGGTTAAAAAGTGACAGCTCTAGTATGGACTAATGTTTGTATAACAAAGATTGTCATTTGGCACTGAAGTTTACATATTTTTTCCCATATATCCTATGACATTTTCCTTACATATTTAATGTACCAAATGTGGGGATATCTGCAGTATTTGGCACAGTCTGTCTGATACATATACAGATACAGAGCTCTATGCACTGCACTGCGATCTGCTGGACGCTTACATGACCCAGTCGGTCCGGTACCTACGACTTCCCACATGGCAGCCCCCCCCTCGCAGCCCCCCCCCCCCGCACGGCCACGTCAGCACTACCTTGTAAGGCTTCCTCTCCCACTTGTCGAAAGGGTCCTCAACCTCAGCGCAGGGGTAGAAGCCGGGGAAGGGGGTGAAGGGCGTGCTGCGGGGACGGCAGGAGCCCGAGAAGGCAGCCATGAGGTTGCCAATGGAGCGCAAGGAGGCAGCGACGTGCGGAGAGAGCGAGGGGTCCCCCAGCAGGTCCGACACGGTGCCGCGTGCGTCCTGGATGAGAGAGAGGTCCACGCCACTGCCGCCATTCAGCACACCCTGCACAGGGACACACACAGAACAGGAGAAAGACGACTACTAGCAGAACATCAAGCCCAAGCATCATCACCCTTAGGTAGCATCCGCCCCCTCCCCCCTGGGAAAGCCACCCCCTACTTGATCCTATTTGTGTTATTCTGATGTTTGGTGTTTACTATAGCTTGTGTTCCAGTACTCTGGCATTTCTTACTGGCCTCTCAGTGGAATCTCAGCCTTGCAGCACTTGTACCTGAGTTTGACTCACTGACAGTGGTGTGAAGTACTGCAATTAAAGAGGAAATTAAATTTCTGTTCACTCACCTGATACTGCGGCTTGTACCACTGTTTCAGATCCCAGTCCCACAGGATCATCTACAAGAAGAGAAACATATTTTAGTGACACAAGCTTCAGCCAGAAAATCATAAGAAAGCACTGAGATGCACAAACAGCATAATCAAAGAGTCAGAGTGACGCCCCCCCCCCCACAAACAGCATAATCAAAGAGTCAGTGTGACAGCC